GACCCGCTTCTCTCCCAGTAAGGTTCCGAGTTGTCCTGGACGACCCGGAGGGCCCCTGGGCCGGATGGAAACCGTGCCGACGGCCGTGGGCGGAGCCAGGCGCGGACGAGGGTCCCCGCGCCTCGCCAGGTCTGGCCACAGCCCCTCCCTCCTCCCAGGGACCCCGGGGACACGGGGCGGGGGGCGGTCGCAGGGGCGCGGCGGCGGGGACACGCGGCCCGGGAAGCGGGGTTGTGCCTGGGCTCGGTACCCCCGCACTCAGAGCCCAGATCAGGCCGCGGGCCGGACCCCCGTTCTGTCCCGCAGCCTCAGTGACAGAGCAGCGCCGCCGGGCTGGCGCGGCACACGCGCGGGCGGTCTGTGCCTCTCGCGTCCGTGCTTTTGATGGCTCCTGAGCAAACCCCGCGGGCTGGTTTCGGTTTGGGGTTTCGTTTGAGAAAGTCTTGGTAAACAGGGAAGCTTCACCCAGAGACCGGAAGGCAGCTCACCCCGGCGGAGATAAGGAGGAAGAGGCCCGGCTTGGCCTCCGCTGGCTGTCACCCTTCCGCTCCCGGGGGCTCCACCCGCCTGCGGTCGGGACTCCCCTCGCTTAGCCGTGTTTCTTAACAGGTCGCCGCACATCTAGTGACTTCACAGAGGACAGAAGTCTGAAATCAAGGTGTCTAAGGGGCCGGGTTCCCCTCCAAAGGCTCCGGAGGAGAATCTTTCCTGGACTATTACAGATCCTGGGGACTCCCAGAGTTCCTCCTTGGTTTGGATAATTCCAATATCTGTCTTCTGTCAGTGTGTGTGCGTGTGTGTGTGTGTGTGTGTGTGTGTGTCTCCGTCTCCATCTCCCACCCTCTCTCTGCCTCTCTCCCCCTCTTTCCCTCCCTCCCTTGTGCTAGGAACAGAACTCAAGATCTAGTACATTCTAGGTAAGAACTGTGACAATGAGCTACATCCCCAACCTTTTCATTTTATATATATATATTTTGTTTGTTTGTTTGTTTGGCTTTTTTTTGAGGCAGGGTCTCTCTGTGCAGTTCAGGCTGGCTTTGAGCTCACTTTATAGACCAGGCTGGTCTGGAATTTGCAAGGATTCTCCTGCTTCAACCTCCCCAGTGCTGGGATTACAGGCGTGCACCACCACGCCCAGCTTCATTTTATATTTTAAGGCAGGATCTCACTAAATAAGTTGCCTGAGGTGGACTTGAAGTTGAAATCCTCCCATCTGAGCAGTGCTGGAGGGTTGGGGTCAGAGGCGTATTCTTCTCTTTTTACACATTTCGTCTTGGATTCTGGGCCCACCCTAATCTAGTACTGTGCCATCTCAAGACCCCTTACTTAACTACACTTAATCTGCAGACTTTTCCAGATAACGTCACATCTGCGGATCGCAGGTGAGAGCTTGTGGAGGACCGCAGGTCACCTCACTGCACTCCCCTTCTCTGGTGTTACGGGGACTGGAGCTGTGTACTGTAATTTAAAATTTAGATGACCGGAAATGTTCCACACTTGATCGCAACCAAAAGGCGGAGAAGCAATAATAAATCCTGTATAAAATAAAATCCACCTTTTCACCGATTGACCTCCCATGTATTTTTAATAGCATTCCTTTTCTCTCTCAAAATAGCCTAGTTTGGGTGGAAAAGTCACATGCTCCCCTTGTGCTGCACAATTTCTAGTGCCCCTTCCATCCTAAAATGTCCACTTCTGTGGACAACATCTTCAACATCTCACCACGAAGCCATTCCATCCTTCAGTGTCCTCCTCCCTTCACCCCGCTGAATGTGGACGTGGGGGCGCTTTGTCACCACCTGAAGCCGGAGAAAGTACAAGAGAAGGAACAAAAGGGACCGGTGGCCAGGCCAGAGCTTTGTTACTGTGAATGAGAATCCCTGGGGTTGTCACAAGTGTGGATTCTGAGTCTGAGAGCCTGGGTTTGGGCTTGGGATTCTGAAGTCCTAATGAAGTACCCAGGTGAGTCTAACTTTGGTCTGTAGATCTCACTGTATTACGCCTCAGAGTTTAAACAAAAAAGGGAGCTTTACATTTAATTGATGATTGTGGAGGACCACCGAGACGGCTCCAGCTGAAAGAAGACCATTGGCCTCCATTTCAGTTCACCTTTGTCCTACTCACACAGCTGTCTAGGGAGATGCTCAACCTCCTTGACTGGCTTTAAGCAATGCAGATGGGTCTACCCCAGGCACCACTGTGTAGCCTTTGAAGCAAAGCGACAGGTCTGTGTGCAGTTCCACCTAAGGCTCACTCCTACTAAGCTGAACTAGGCTGAGAGACACCGCACTGTTGGCCAAGACTGAGCCTCGAAAAAGTAGTGACGTCCCAGGGCAAGTAAGGCCAGCATCAGAGCTAAGACAGGAAACACAAAAGACAAGATAATTCCTCAAACAATGTTATGCAGATTCTTCCAAACGTCAAGACTGTTTGTTAACAGAATCCGATACTCTGCTGCATACTTCTCTGTGCATATTGTAGAGTTGCAATTGTGCCTTCTACCTAGGCCAGCTCACAGAATTCGAGTAGTTCCAGCCATTCTCACCTACCCCGAGCCACTCACCTCTTCACGAATTAATAAAGCCTGGGTTTGGCCCTTGGTCATGGTCTTTGTTCTGGTTGGCCTTCATTCCACCTGGACTTGGGACGCCCTTGCTCGCTATACCTACAAGTACGCCTCAGTCTTTTTTCTCTCCATGGGTTGCATTGGAAGTGGTAGATTGGAACTTACTTGCAAGAATTCCAGTAACTTTGCACTGGAATTACAGTTTATAAGTTCTGGGCTGTGATGAGGTTCAGGTGCTTATAGGTCATAAAAGGCCAAATCTGGAGGCAAAACCCTTTTGGGCTTAGGGTTTCAGAGGTTTTAGTCAATGGCTGTCTGGTGCAGTTGCTTTTAGCCCTGAGGGAAAGCAAGGTAGCATTCCAGGAGTATGTGGAGAAGAGATACCTCAGGGAGGCCATGAAGAATGTCCCAGCCATCTCAAGGACATATCCCCAGTGTCCTGACTTCCTTCACTACGCCATACCTCCTAAGGGTTCCACCACTTTCCAGTGGGGCCACAGGCAAAGGATTTTTGGGGGACATTCAAGATCCAAACTATAGCAGTGGAGTGCAGCAGAAAAGTCTGGAACAGAGCAAATTGTTGAAGCATTTAACTCAACAGGTTTTTACATTGCTTGTCTCCAGTCTCACTGTGAGGTGTTTGTCCTCTGACTTCATTTCACATCTTTCTGGATCTGTGAATTTGCTTAGTTTTCCCTCTGTGACATGCTTGGCATGAAGAGCTGCACGGTTTATCTATTTCCCTGCTCACCTGCCCTGCACAGAAGAATGTCAGTTCATCCCACATTCATATGCAAAACCAGCAGTCACTCCTAAACAACCTCCCATTAAGGCCCAAATATGGAACATATCAGATTAGAGGTTACACACCTGTAGAAGTAAGAGAGTTCTTTCTCTCCATTCTGTCCAGGTGAGATATGTGAGGCTGAAAAATAAACCGACACAGACAAATTAAAAAGATGAAGGTTACAAGCTTGTCACATCCCAGGGGATCCCAGCAAGATGAGCACCCGATAACGAGGGCAATTATGAACTTACACACCCATGTTCAAAGGGAACAGGACCTGGGGACTGTAGCAATTATAGAGGAATAGCAGGTGATGTTTAGGAGAGAGATCAGGCCTCCAACCCTGTCGGGGTGAAAGCAAATTTCTCCTCCTCTGAAGGTTCATTGGAATAAACTGGCAAAGATTACATAGGAGAAGAAGGATACACCTTCTTAACATGCCAAAAGAAGAAAACCATAGGAGTGTGATTATGCACTAGCAGTGTCATCCAGAAACTTACGCTCCTTTTCCTACGTGGAAGGAGGAAAAAGGGAGCTTTAAGTTGCAAGAATATTCTCTTTGGAATTTGAACTGAAGGGACCAGGGTCATCTTGTAGCAGAATCTTGTGGGGAAGTGTGTCCAGGATGCTTCTTAGAGACAGACCGACCCTGAGACTTCAGAGTAGGGTACAAGGCAGTTTATCCCCTTTTGTCACCTGGTTTTAATGCAGATAGGGGAATTTCAGAGAGTCTTTCCCAGCATTGGACGAACAGAAGGAATGCAAGCTGTTTCTTTTGGAGCAGTGTGCCCCCCACTCCCCGCCCCTAAAAACCCATGCTTTGGTGTCTCATCCCTGTAAGTCTCCATCAGACCTGGCTCTCCCAGTCCCCAGCCTGCTTGCCAGCAGAAGCGCTACTGTGTGCGGGGAACTCGGCTCTCAGCAGGGAACTCAGCTCAGTACCCAAGGCTGTCATCCACAAGCACAGGAAAGGAGGTAAGCTAGGATAAGGAATTTTGCAGGTCCTGGGGACATCTGGAGGCACCCAAAAGTGTATGTCAGACACTTCAAAGGACTCTGCCTACTGAGATGCAAGACTGCCAGAAAATTGTAACCACAGGTATTCCTTGGGATATCCCTGGCCTGAACCCAAGCGCAAGAAATTCCATGCCATGTTGCCTTTACACAAGCCTGGTGGTCTCTGCTGGTTACATATGTTAACACCC